GGGGGGGGTGATTGGATTGCGGGAACCTTTGAAGATGTGACTTGTTTGTTGATAATTCAACACGAGGGAGGGGAGTCTTTGGTGTGACTCGCTGCTTCACCGCTGCCCGATGGTCTGCTCCCCTGCTCTTGTTTTCGAACGGCCGGGGCAGCGCTTCATCGACAGCCGCGCATCAGCGGAACACAGCGAGCCAGTCGGAAAGATAGGAAGGTCATGTGTGTTTCTCATGGCGCGCGACACACACATGCATGTTTGGGCAGGCACACAACACACCGTTGTTGGTTGGGACAGCTTGCTGCAGCATCGTGGGATGGGCGGTGTCGGGGTTGGGATTTTTCTCATTCGTTCCATCCTCAGTTGGCTGGCATTGCGTTGACCCCCTTCCAACGTCTGTCTGTCTGTCTCCTCTCGTGTCGTCTTGTGTTGTAGGAATGGAATCTGATGCACACGGGCAGCCACGCCGCCCGGTGCCCTCATTTTTGGACTCACTCTCTCACTCCATCGATCCATCGAGCCCACGCACGTCACGTCGTCATGTGTAGTGTGTACAGCACTCGTCTCTCGTCTCTCTCCCTGTGGGTAGACAGCTGGCTTGGCTTAAGCAGGGGAATGACAATACGGCCTGTGGTCCTTCCGACACCTCCATGTGCACACACACGTACGCTCTCGTGGTGTGGTCTGTGTGTATGGTGTGGCTGGTTGGTGCAGCTGGGCTGGCGCGGATTTCTCGTGTGCATGTGAGCATGACGACTGCCATCGCACCCTCGCCAGGTGCGGTATGTAGGTGCCTAGGTGCTTACGTGGAGACGCCGCCTTGGCTGTCTCGGTTGTCTTTTGCTCGTCAACATGAATCGACTCGTCAGTCGGTCACCGATCAATGTATACATGTCTCTCAGGCACGACCACCAACACACACAGACACATGCATTGCGTCCTCTCAAACGAACCGAATCAGCTTACATCACAATATAGAATGTACACACCGATGCACACACACACACTCTTGCTGCCCTTTCGAGCCACCTCAGCACCGCACAAATATGTCGGTTCTGTAGGAGCAATAAGTTCGTGAGGAGATGATCAGCGGTGCGCGGCAAAAGTGTTGCCCATTCCGCCCACCTTCTCCTTCCTCATGGTGTACGCCGCCCCACCAAATCGACAGACAGAGAAGGAGTCCAACCAACGATGCAGTCAGTGTGTGCGTCGTCTGTCGCCCTGTGCTGTGCTGCATTGCCGGGCGGCTCGGCTTCTTACTCTGCAGCAGGTAGATGGCCAGCGGGCGCACTCGCAGGATCTTCTGAAGCAGTGCCGAGAGCCAGCAGCTCTGGTCAATGTTGCAGAAGACCGCGTCCCGCGGCCACTGCAAGCCACGCATACAGCCACAACAGCACATACCACATAGGAGTGCACAATGCCCCGAGAGACGAGGGATACCCTCCAGGTCGCTCACCCTTTGTGTCCACTGCTCGTCGTACGCTGTCGGCGTGGCAAAGTTGGGGCTGCTCGAGACCACTGTGAGCGTCGATGCCCTGCCCTTGGCTGGGGTCGGTGGAGGGTGTACGGGGCGATGGCGATGGCGCCGCTGATCGGCATCGAGCCTTTCGGCCTGCGGACGACATGGTGGGCTGGGGCTGCTTCTTAACTGCCCTCAGGAATCTCATTTTCCCAGCGCTGGCTAGCAGAATCTGTGAAGGCAGAATCTGTTTTCGCCGTCTCTGATTCTCGACATTTACAGAAAGTGGAAACAAGACAGCGGATCGTACTTATTGCTTTTCCTTCTTCTTCCTGCCTCGCCCTTTCGTCCCGGCAGATGCAGATGGGCAGCTCGAAAACGAACGAAAGAAAATATGGCGGGTCGTTGGGCCCGCTCGCCCCGTGGCCCCTGTCAGTGAGGCTGGGCGCCTCATGACGCCTAGCGGGGCGACGCCGACGCCCCGCTAGG